TTAGAATTTAATTTAAATTTTATGTTATTATTTAAAATAAAAACAAAAATAAAACGTCATAAGACCTAAAATAAAATGTCATAAGACCTAAAATTTAACTTTAATATTGTGGCTATCTTCCTTTAATAATAATCAACCAAATCAAGCCTCTTGATCATCCCTAGAATGAAAACAACTACAAGCACGGCAACAAATATACTAATATGCTAACTTTCATCATCCAAAAACTAGTTGTTTACATTATTTTTATTTTTGAGAAGCTGTGTATTGTTTCATTTTTTATTAGAATATATATCTTAAATTTTCACAGTTACATATGTCAATATCCAAACTTTCTTCACCCAAAAATTATTGTATACAATTTTTTTTATACCCAAGATATAACGTTTGTAGCCCCATTTTCTCTTTTGCCATCTTTTCATGCAGAATACATAATTGTTTGCCTTTAAACACATTTTTAATCTTGATAATCCAATATCCAATCTCTAGTAAGGCGATTTACAATTGGTAGAGAATCCAACAAAAATCTACAATAATGGATAAACTTATCAACTTGTTCTCTTGATCATACTTAAAAATATATATATATATATATATAGAAGTACAAAAACAAATAGACCTATGTCCAAACTTTCATCACTCAAACCTTCCCTTGTTTGGTTGTGTAAATTCATGGAGGGTATGAACTGCATTCCTATATATGGTGGGGAATCTCAAAAGTAACGCATTGTGATATGGAGCTATGTGTTGACTCATATGTAAATGGGTTGACTCTAATGTAAATGGGTTAGGCATCCCTTAAACACTTTGAATAAAATTTTCTTTATTTGCAACAAAAATTAAAAAATCGAAACCCTCCATCACTCCAAAAATTGTTATTTACATTTATTTTATCATCAAGATATTGCATGTACTGTCTCATTTTTCTCTTTTGTCATCTTTTTTTAAGAGATGTGGTTATGGTCTTCTATTAAATTATTAAGATAATATAATATAGTTTAAAAATATTAATTTTATATAA